GTTAATTGAGAGCGATATAGAAATACCACTGTTAAAATAGTGTTCAATAAATCCATTGTAGAGCGATATAGAAATATCACTGTTAAAATAGTTCTCAATCCATCAATTGTAGAGCAATATAGAAATACCACTGTTAAAATAGTTTTCAATACATCAATTATAGAGTGATATAGAAATATCACTGTTAAAATAGTTTTCAATACATCAATTATAGAGCAGTATAGAAATACCACTGTTAAAATAGTTCTCAATACATCAATTGTAGAGCAGTATAGAAATACCACTGTTAAAATAGTTCTGAATACATCAATTATAGAGCAGTATAGAAATACTACTGTTAAAATAGTTCTCAATACATCAATTATAGAGCAGTATAGAAATACCACTGTTAAAATAGTTCTCAATACATCAATTATAGAGCAGTATAGAAATACCACTGTTAAAATGGTGTTCAATACATCAATTGTAGAGCAATATAGAAATATCACTGTTAAAATAGTTCTCAATACATCAATTATAGAGCAGTATAGAAATACCACTGTTAAAATAGTGCTCAATACATCAATTGTAGAGCAATATAGAAATACCACTGTTAAAATAGTTCTGAATACATCAATTATAGAGCAGTATAGAAATACTACTGTTAAAATAGTTCTCAATACATCAATTATAGAGCAGTATAGAAATACCACTGTTAAAATAATACTCAATAAATCAATTTTAGAGTGACATAGATATATCACAGTTAAAACAGTTGATGTCAATACATCAATTATTGCAGAGTGATATAGAAATATTACTATTAAAATTGTGCTCAATACATCAAACTGTAGAGTAATATAGAAATATTACTATTAAAATTGTGCTCAATACATCAAACTGTAGAGTAATATAGAAATATTAAAATCTTATATAAAATGACCGATATACTATGTTAATTATCAATTATAATTTACCCTTTATAAACATATTATTATCATGTTTATTAATTAACTCCTATTAGAATTTTTCTATTTTCCTCCTTGTGACATTAATGTAAGAATTTCACTAAAGAATCCACTAAATGATAAACTATGGTGGAAGTTTGTTAATGCAGCTTTCATTGTAGCAATTCAATGAATTTCATTCGGGAGTCCAACTTGATAGATACATAAATCAAAAACTTCTAGAGTGAGTAAGTGAAACTATAGAATTTTGAAATATGATTTTCATTTTGATTAATATCGAGAGATTACTCAAACTCTATTTCAATAATTAATATGATTTATAAACAGGATATATAATCCCCCATAACAATACCTCTAAATCGATAGATCATTCTGATCGCTTTCAACCTAATCGATATGTTTATTGTTATCAGGTGATTGAATAATCATTGATTATTAAGAATCGATAAAATATAATCAAAATTTATTGAAAAGAGAGGAAATTTGAGAGTGTTTAGTTTAAAATGAAATTGCAAAACGTGGTATATCTAGGTTTCATATCTAAAGTAATGATTATTCCACGACAGACTTTTTATTGTAGAAGTTTTCTTGGGCATGATATTCGAGGTATTCGGCCATTACACTCTCGACTTCTCGCCCACGAGAAAGAGAGAAAAAGTGCAAGACAGACATCAAAGGTGCGAGGCAAAATGCGAGA